TAGTGTTACTGCAGTGTGCACTGACTGACAACTGGCTGCTTTCCTGCCTGTTACCATGCCTCTCATCAGCTGTCCTGAGCTCCTCTGTCAGAAACACTTCCCATAGTTTACAATTTTCTAAGCTGATCTCTTTAATTCTATTTGATTTCCATTGACTCTTCCACATAATTATGAATTGACCATATCTGGCCATCATAGCTAGTCAAGATGACAGAAACATTTATTTATTTTTGTTGACAATTAAGCCTCAGGCTAGTGAATGCCAGGAAATGAAAGTAAAAGATAGCCTGGGGTGATTCCTAGACTAGTGGGTGCCAGGCCCTGGGTTCCATCTCCACCACTGATGATGGTCATGATGATGATGGTGGTGGTGGTGATGGTGATGATGATGATGGTGGTGGTGGTGGTGGTGATGATGGTGGTGGTGGTGATGGTGGTGATAATGGTGGTGGTGATGATGATGGTGGTGGTGGTGATGGTGGTGATGGTGATAATGGTGGTGGTGATGATGATGGTGGTGGTGATGGTGACAACAATGGTGGTGGTGTTGGTGGTGATAATGGGTGATAATAGTGGTGGTAATGGTGACGATGATAGTGGTGGTGATGATGGTGGTGGTGGTGATTGTGATGGTGGTGGTGACCGGATGAAGCATCTCAACTAAGAAAAAGATTAATATGGAAGAGAAGGAAAAGAACAACAACCAACAAACAAAAACTGGAATGAGCCTGATCTTCCATCTTCTAGGACTAAAATTAGCTCCAGTCACATATCTCATGGCTTCAAAAGTGTGTGTGTGTGTGTGTGTGTGTGTGTGTGTGCGCGCACGCGTGCATTTCAGCCTTCCAGGGTGCTGTTCAGAACTTGAGAGCATGAGAAAGCCTAGGCTTAGGAAAGGTGTGGGTATCACATAAAGCTGAAATCTGTCTCTCATGGCTTTAGCTTCCTTATTGTGCAAACTTTCTTGACAAAGGTTTAAATCTTTATCTTTATTATTTTGTGTTTATGAAAGCCTCAGATTGCAAGAACGCTGGGAGGAAAGAGAGAAGAGGAAGGGAAAAGGGTACTTTAATTAACTTAGCTCTCTGGTCGACTCGCTTTGGCGTCTGGAGGTTGACTGACAGCTCAGACGCTGCTGGGCGCAGTGAGAAAGAGGTAGGAAAGGCACAGTGTGGTTCTCAGCCCGCAGAGCATGGCTCCCTTTCTCCATCCTCTCCTTTTAACCTCATCTTCGCCTTAGCCATGCTGTAGCAGGGTAAAACCAACACGGGTTAGTATCATTCCCTTGAATCACTGTAATCTGGTCCACAGCCTGTTGTACAGAATGTGCTCAATGGGGACCTGGGGGAAACCGACAGGTGAAGACACTTTCTTCACCAGCCTGATGACCTGAGTTCAATCACTGGAGCCCACAAGACCCCAATGCAGTGGCTCATGTCTGTAATCCCTGCAGTCCTACAAAGAGATGAAAGGAGGAGAAAGAATTGCCCATGGGTAGCAAGCCTGATGTATGCAGCGCAGCAGGAGCATGTACACATACATATGCAGTCATGCCCTCAGGCACACACCCTTACATGCGCACAGGCACGCTCGCGCGCGCGCGCACACACACACACACAAACTCACACATACACCAAATTTTAAATGGGAGTGGAGGGAACTTGTTATTCTTAGAGACGGAGTCTTGCTATGTAGCCCAGACTGGCCTCAAACTTCCTTCCCTTCCCAGCCAAGGCTCCCACATCTTGGGGTTACGGAAGTGAGCAACAACACCCAACATGCAATACTTTTTCAGTGACTTGCCAGGGGGAGCTGAGCGCTCATCTCACAGCATGGGCAGCTGATAGAGCCCACGGTTTGGCGTGGCCAGGAGTGTGCCCAGCCCCTGGCTTACGGCATTGGCAGCTGACAGAGCTCACACTTTGATGTGGCCAGCAGTGTACTCTCCCCTGGCTCTGCACTTACATGATCTTAGAAGGGTCATTTAATCACTTCCAGCCTCGGTCTTGTCTTTGTTCTGTCTGATGGCTTGGCTGTTTTATACAGTGCCAGGGATGAACCCGCAACCTCACACGTACTTCCCACACACTAGCAAGCGCCTACCACAGAGTGACATGTCAGGCAGAGGCTGTTTCAGACCTGACGGTGACAGGTGACAGTCCTGTGTGTGAGAGGGCGTCCCTGTGCACACGCTGCTGGGCGGGGTACACATGTATGGGAACGCTTTCTCACGCTGTTGTTGCAGCGTCTGAATGGCTGAAGTACACACGGCAGACAACCATCATGGTGAAGTAGTTTCTCAACCAACAGTGATGTGTTGTGATCTTTCGAGCCGTGCTGGTGTTGTGTTGATGTAGACAGTGAAGAACATTCTCTGAGATAGTGTTACTAGCTAACCAGAATTATCGAGCTGCCTTTCTATCCATCTCCAAACCAACCAAAGTCACAGTTACATTGTTAAGACTTTGACTTCAAGGAGTTTTCTCTTCTGGAAGCATTTTATAAATATCCTAAGAGGCGTGTCTGGAATCTCTTTGCTCTGATTGCTTTTCCCAACAAAACTGTTGATTGAGCGTCTGAATTCAGTAAGAGAAGGTGGAGACTGTGAGTCTTCGATTCGGCCATCTGCAGCTTCCACGTACCCTGCACGCATCTCTCTGCACAGAACCGTGCCGGAACTTAGACCTCTCCTCTGCATCTTGCCCTTATTTCTTCTATAAAGAAAAAACTTCTACAGAGCTTGAGTCCACAGGTCTGAGCTGCAGGAATTCAAATCAAAATACAGGGATGCCCTGTCTCAGTCACAGACCTGCCCCTGCCTCCTGCCACTTGGTGTAGGTATGCCTCTTTCATCTTCTGTGGTGGATTATGAAGCTTTGGAAACTCAATCCTGCAAAGAGGTTCCTTTGGCCCCGAATCCACTGCTGATGTCTGCAGACCTCATGGCAGGCTCCACGAGTCTTTAAAGTGTTGTGGTTTTAATGCAATCTTTACCTTTTTTTTTAACCTAGAAAATGGAAATGACAAAGCCAAAAAGACACTAAGCAGCCTGTGACTTAGAGGGAACTTTCAAATTTGTGACAGAGGGCATGTATGAGTGTGAGCATGTGTCTGTGTTCAGGTGCACATGTACACGGACATATATGTGTACATGAATGTGGGGGCCAGATATCAACTTTGGATGTCATTCCTCCGTAGGCATTCACCTTGTTGTTTGGTTGGCTTTTAAGACTTATTTATTGTTATTTCATGTGTCCAGGTGTTCTGCATGTGGGTTATATCTGTGTGGTACGTGTGTACATTTCCCAAGGACATTGGAGAGCCTGGGACTGAAGCTACAGATGCTCTGAGCTGTCCCTGGGTGCTTGGGATCAAACTCGGGTCTCCTGGAAGAGCAGCTAGTGCTCTTTACTGAGGATCCGTCACTTGTTTTGTGAGACAGGAGCTTCCACTGGGACCTGGGGCTTACCAATTCAGTCAGGCTAGCCAGCAAACCCCGGGATCTGCCTTTCTCTGGCTCACCAGCGGATTGCAAGCACCTGTGCATTCCCAAGGATGGCTCTCGTGGAGCATTCGGGGGACTGTTTACATCTGAGGGCCCTCCTGTGGCAGAGAGAGATGGCCACGGGGAGATCATTTGGTTGAAATTTCTGGCCTGAGGCAAGGGAGAAGAATGTTTTTTTTTTTTTTTAAGAGCCTGGCTTGATGCTGGAGAATGCACTCAGCAGAAACATGAGGCTGAAACAATGCTAAAGACGCAGCCCATTGGTTTTCTCTCAAACTCATCCCTAACTTTAGTTAAAGGTGGACTCTTGAAGGAGAACTGAAGGTGGGGCACCTGGGAGGGTAGCAGAGGGGAAGCTGGGAAAGGCCGTATCCCTATGGAGCTTTGCACAGCCTGTTGATTCAGGGGATGTGGTCAGACAAAGACAAAGACTTGTCTTCGCCCTTGAAAATGTGGACACCATTGTGCTGAATGGATGATGCCCCTTCCGCTCCCACTATTGCCATTGTCTTTCCTGATGTGGATGCTTCATCCGTGCTTTGGGAAGCTGTGTTTTTGCTTCTTTTCATGTGAATATGTGTGCTGTGGTCAGACTAGGAAATTCAGTAGAGCACTTCATTTTGAAATTTCCAGCTGGCCTCTCCAGTCCTCTTTCATTAAATGACATAAACAGATTGTTCTGTGAGTTATGACCCTAAGAATAAGAAAAGGGCTTGTTCCATGGGTAAAACATTTGGTTCACAAGCACGAGAAATTGAGCTTGGATCTCCAGGCCCGAATAAAGCCAGACACAATAGTGTGTATCTGCAACCCAGCCGGACACAGAAGTGTGTATCTGTGATCCAGCTGGAGACAGTAGTGTATGTGTGTAATCCAGGTAGACACAGCACTGTGTGTCTGTAATCCAGACACAGTAGTGTGTATCTGTGATCCAGACAGACACAGTAGTGTGCATCTATAACATGTACACGTCACATATACACACACACACAAAATAGTTACAGTAAAAATTTCAAAGAAATGTAGACACCAAACATCAATTTCCAGTCTCCACATGCTTGCACACACGTATGCATGTACACCTGCTCATACTTGTGCACACTCATACAACATACACACAATAAATAAATGATAGATAGATAAACAGAAATATTTACCCCTTTTGTTTATAACTATACATTTTTGTTTTTTATTAGAAAAATCAAATCACAAATCCATGAGTAAATTTTAATTATCTTTTCAGAATTTGCTTCATGTATTGAGAAGATGTTGCCCATTTTTCTTAGCCATAGCGAATGAGCATTTTCTCCCTACTGCCCTTCCCCATCTTGCTAGAGATCTGAATCCCAAAGCTCTCTGCAGACCCGGTTATAAACACTGCTGCTTTAGTTCCTGTCTCGTTATAGACACGACTGTATGGTGCACGCTCACTGTGTTTCACACTAACTCATTTATGTGTCTCATGTTGCAAACTTGTCTGCCCTGGTTTCCCCAGTTTGATGCCGACCGAGATGAGGATGCCGTGTTCTATGACATCAGTGTGGCAGTCGACAACAAGTTATTTCCAAACAAAGAGGCTGCAACAGGTAAGTCACCACGCCCTTTGGCATCAGAATATGAGAATCAACTGCCAAATGGCCCAGGATTTTTATCCATGGCCAAGGCTCCACCAGCTGCTATGGGACTGGACTTCCCTATTCTTAGCCTTTATTCAAAAATAAAGATTAAAAAATCAAATAGAAAAACTGAAAACCTCTCCCTGAGTACTTGCTGACGGTTTTCTTGTCGAAGCACATAGAAATCTTTGGCCATCATAATGTAACATAGCACCTACATCTCCACAGTAGAAAAAATACAGTCTGCCCCATATTTTGTGTGGCTGTAGAAGATTATAGTGCTCAGGGCCCCTCTATCTCCTGCAACTCTGTCTGGTTCCACCTGAAGAAAGCGTTCTCTGGTAGCTACACCCATCCCAACCCACAGTACGAGGGTCACCTGCAGCGACTTTCTCAGGCTGCTAGACCCCAAATCATGACACAAAGGCTTATTATTAATTGTGAATGCTCCACCTTTTCTTATGCTTGTCCCACAAGCTCTTATACCTTAATTTAACCTGTTTCTCTTCATCTGTGTTTTGTCTCGATGCTTTTTATCTCTTATTCTGTACATCCTAATTTCCTGTTTCCTCCATGTCTGACTGACTGGCAGCTGCCTGCCTGGCTGGCCCCTGGAATCTCCCTCTCTTTCTCCCTCATTCCCTCTCAAGCCTAGATTCTTCCTTCTACTTATTCTCTCTGCCTACCAGCCCTGCTCATCCTTCTATTGGCCATTCCATTTTTTATTAGACCAATCAGGTACCTCAGACAGGCAGAGTAAAACAGATGCAGCACATCTTTACACCATTAAATACAACATAAACGAAGGTAACACATATTTAAATAGTTAAACAAATGAAGCATAAATGAATGTAACACATCTTTTCATAGTTAGATATCCCACATTTTCCCCTTTTGTCTAAATAAAAAGAAAGGTTTTAGCTTTAAATAGTAAGACTACAAATATAAAATATATAAAATAAGAACAATTATCAAGTAAAAATTACATTTACAATATCCAGGCAATTTGTATTTTCAAATTCAGAGAAAATACTCCATTATCTATCCTTGGTGAATCCAAACATGTGTATCTAATTTAACTAATTTGTATTACCTAACTTGTATTACCAACCCAAAGTTATCTTTTTAGACCTAAAAACATTCTTTTGTTTATTAAATCCTAGTCATTTTAATTGTTTGGATAGGAATGTGTGTCCGTCTCATGCAGAAGATCCATGGCATTTCTGATTCTGCCCTTCTTCCTCCTAGCATTCAGTTCTTTTTTTTCCACCTACCTAAGTTCTGCCCTATCAACTAGGCCAAGGCAGTTTCTTTATTCATTAACCAATGAAAGCAACACACAAACAGAAGAAACTCCTACACCAGTCCTTGAAGACAATACAAAATAAATAAGAAAATCCTGGCTCTGGCTGTAATGGTCTAGAAAGAAGCTGCAGCCAAGAACAAGTGTTAAATCCTCTTTACCTCTATTCCAGAAAGTTAGACAACAATGTTCTTGCTCTCATATCTGTACCAGTTGGTATTTCTTCACGGAAATCTACAGTTTCTTCTCCACTTCTGCAGTATTGGTGGCCGTATCAGCTTCCATTTGGGGGCTTTCCTGCCAGTCAGTAACCCAGCTGCATTCTAACCATGCCATTCTAGCCACGCTGCCTTCCTGATAAACAACAAAATAAAACCTGTGGCTTCCCTGCAGGCGGGGTACCAGTGCCCTTCTTATATCCAAACACCCAGAATCCTTAGATGTCCCATGTCCAGTGATGTATTATCTCCACTCCTCACCAACACCATCCCTGCAGCTCTCTGATTGGCTTAGCGCCTGCCTCTGGCCTTTGCACCTGCTCTTCTGGTCACACTGAACACCTCTCTCCATCCGTGTGATTCCAGTGTGTATTCCACCCCACAACCTCATCCTGCATGGACCAGTTCCTCCTTTGTGTCTTCGAGACTCTGTGAGGATGTGTATGTCTTATGTGTTTGTGGTGTGTGTGTATGTGTGTGTGTGCGCACACATGCATGCACATGCAAGTGCCCAAGGGAGACAGCATATAAAGCATTTCTTTTCTATCTGGCCACCTCAGATGACCCAATGATCCAAGCTCCCACCTCACAGGTAAACCAGGTCTTCAGCTTGAGCCCCAGTATGCATTTGGGGCTCCTTTGCCTTTTCCTCTAGGCTGCAGGCTGATGGCCTCTGCACCCTCCCTGCAGGCTTCTCTGTGGAGCCCATTGGTAGTTCCAGCAGAACCATCTCTACCTACCTACCTGTGTCTCTGGGCTTGTATTTCCTTATTTAGAAAGAGGAGACAAGAGTGCCTGCCTCATAGGGGCCTTGCAATGAGGCAGCGGGTTTGTGGGGAAAGGTTGTCCCTGTCCCCCTGAAAAGGCTGCATGTGAGCTTGTGTCTTTGCAAAGGACTTGAAGATTCACTGGGAGAGACTGCGTCTTAGACTACATTTTGCTCTCCTTTGCCCAGATTTGTCTCCCCTATCTTTTCCTTCCTTCTTGCCCTCTCCCCATCCTACCCTAGAGCCACTGAAGAGCCACCCTCCCCCCTCACTCAGGGGCTTGCCTTTTCCCAGATAAATACAGTGCTGTTCCTCAAAGGAGTTCTGCCGCAAAGTATGGCTAACACTCCCATCCCTGTGGCACAAGAGTGCCATTCTCAGGCTCAGTGTGGACAGGATTGGGACAGGAAGCACTCAGTCTGCACAGAGAGCGCCCAGGAAGGAGCAGCATCTGTCTGGGGAAAGTGCACAGGTCCTTTGATTGTTCTTCAGCTGTGCAGTAGCTGGGAGCAGAATGCCTTTCATTTCTAAATTGTGTTTTGATTTTCCATCATGAAACATGATCCAACAGTTTAATGGATATAGGGACGGGAGATATTGCTCCCCTTAAGGGGGGCAGTCAGAGGGGTGGAAGAGTCTCATTCAGTGCCGTCCTCTATGGCTCATGAAGCCCTATTGCAGGAAGTCTCCAAGTGGGAGGGGTGTCTTCCTACAACTTTAGACTGGCACCCGTGACACTGTCCCTGAGAGCAACATGGTCTGGTTCACCTCTGCTGCCTCTTTAAAGCGCTTTGTCTCGGGTTCCCACTCAACGACATGCTGAAGGTAGTGTTTCTGAAGATGCCCTTACCTTAAAACAAGTGATACTGCGTGTCTCAGGAAGTGGGGAGCCATTGCAGATCAGACCTGTCTTTGTTATCTAAAAAGGGGGGTATCTTTAAATCTGCAAAGAAACTGAAAACTCAAAATGGGGGAGAATGAAAGCCAGACTTTTTCCAAATGTCTGAATTCTGTGGTTGTTTCTGAATTCTGTGTCATGTCTAGTGTTTTTATGGTTGTGTCCTGGTTGGAAGACAGATGGGGAGCACCAGCATTTGTCTCCCTTGCTTGGTTGCTGAGCCTTGGGCTATTAGTAAAGTCCCCGTTTCCAGAAAACTGAGCAACCAGTGCTTTGAAAAATGCAAGCCATTCAATCATTATCTGAGCGGATAATGATACCCTTTGTCTATCATCCGAGATATATTAATACTACGGTTGCCAGGAGCAACAGTGTGTCAGGAATTGCCATCCCTTAGTAATGCAGTGAGATTTCTGTCAAAGCCCTTGATTAGGAAGGCTCATCAATCTCCTCCTCCTCCTAAGAGGGAAGTTTGTTTTAATCAAAAGGCTTTTCATTCTGATGTGATTGGAAATAATTTTCTAATGAATTTGCTGCTGTTTCCAAGGCTAGCATGTGGTCCCTACTCGGTGGGTTGTTTAAGGGCCCTTCAGATTGCACGTCTTGAAACCAATTGGAAGAATGGTTTCCAACTCCACAAAATAAGTAGGACAAGGGACTCCTCTTGCCGCGTGTTCACCAAGACTTTGTGTTCAGATCCTGGGGACTCTCTAGGAAGCAAAGGACAGTCAGAGATGAGGGAAACACATCCATCCACACGCCTTCCTCTACTTGACTAGTCAAGAAGACAGCGTCCACTCTGTGACTAAGGAGAGCCTTTAACACTGCTGTCCACAAAAGCCGCTTAGGAAGAAACTTGATTTTCCTGGCTTACACTAGATTCCAGTCTTCCACCTCTGATGTTTCCACAGCCCCCTGCAATGTGCTTATTGTCCCTTGTTGTCTCAGAATGCTGAATGGACAGCCACGTCCTCCGAGTCCTTGTCCATGTAGCTTACTGTACTGAACGGCGGTCTAGGTAGAGCCCTGTGGATGGCTCTGCCTAGAGTTTGTTGTCAGCAGGGTGCCTGAGCGAACAGAGACATGGAAGCCCAGCTTCTGTCATTGCTGTCACACAGTAGCTCCTGCTCCAAGTTGAGATCATCCCTGGATAGGCAGTCAGACTGTCCTAGGAACATAGAAGAGACTGTGAAAACCACAAACAGTGGTCTAACAGTGCGTACCTTCTCAGTTTGGTCAAACTGTCCTAAGAACATAGAAGAGACTATGAAAACCACAAACAGTGGTGTAACACTGAGTACCTTCTCGGTTTGGTGGAAAGTGGAGTTAGCAGCAGTCGGTAGCGTAGAGTGGTACACACCTGCACTTCCCAAGTTCAAAGCCAGCCCGACCTAAAGACTGAGGCTTATCTGCAGAAAGGGTGAGGGACACAGAGGAAGGGCAGAAGGGGTGAAATGTTAAAGTGAGTGGAGATACTGGGTGAGACCCCACTTTTCCTCTGGAACAAGAATCAGTATGAATCATTATTTCTGGGGTGCTCTGTTTCTAAAAAGTGGATGAAGTAGATACTGTTTTGTGAAAATGTGCTCCATTAAACTTTCATATCTGACCAAGAATGACTTGTCAAAACCCATTTACAGAGAAATGGGAGGTGGTTTGCTATTTCACAGAATACATAAACCTTTTATGGGCAGCTCTTTCCTTGCCAGGGAGGTGTGTGTACCAAAGTAGGTGGCGTGTCTCCCCACAGGAAAGTGTCATGAAAAAAGAACAAGTCCACTGTCCTGTGAGAACCCATGATGGGAATTAATGGTTTAACTCTGAGTCTGGGGGATGAATGGCAACTGGCTTAGTGCAGCCTGTCCTACCCGAAGAGACAACCTCTCGTCTTTGAAGACTAGGGTGGTCATTGTCAACTGTCAGTTTGACACAATCTAGAGCCATGGAAGAGTGTTAGCTGGGGAGTTGTCTGGATGCCTGGCCTGTGGGAACTGCCTAGACCTTCCCAGCCTGTGGACATGTCTGTGGAGATTGTCTTCACTATAAATTGAGGTGGGAAACCCACCCTACAAATGGGCAACATCATTTCCTGGGCTGGGCCCTGGACTGTTGTGAGTAGAGAAAGCCAGCTGTGTGGCCAGCCGGCAGCGATGTTAATCTTTCTCTGCTCTTGACGACGGATGTGAGTGACAAGGTGCCTGAGTTCTTGACGTCCCCTCAATTATGGAGTAAAACCTGGAATTGAATGCCGAGCAATCCCTGTCCTCCCCCTGTCTCCTTGTGAAGGCGTTTGTCATAGCAAATGAAATGAAGCTAGAACTGAGGCTAAGGCCACCTGTAGGCTTGAGGCAAAAGTCATGGTTTAGAATGGGAAAATCAGCCCTTGTGTGCAAGGGCTTCTAGAGAGGAGCTCTTCTGCTCTCTTCGTGGTGCCCCTGGTGTCTCCGTCACAGAACACCCTGAAGCCACCTCTCCTAAACACTCAGATCCCCTCTCCAACTTCAAGTTCCTGGCTCAGGTCCACTGTCATCTTCACTGATGGTCAGGTTTAGTATCTCATACTTTCCGGCTGTTGACAAGTTAGGCTCTTCCAGAGCTTGCTCTTCTGAAGGTTGGGGCAGGGCCCAGAGTGTCCGTGTCCTCTAAGCCCAGCCCAGACACAGAGTGCGGCAGATGAAGGATTGTATAAATGTGTATGCAGCTAAGGGAGCAAATAGGACGGTAAGGAAGCCTGCTGGGGAGCTTACTGCTTTGGAAACACACACAGACAGTCTCCACCAGCTAACCGTGTCTTTCTTAAACTTAGATTCAAGCGACCTTGACCCTTCGATGATGTTTGACCCTGGAGAGATCGTTGACACGGGATCAGATTATGATGACCAGGTCAGTGAACCTCAAAGAATCTTTTTATTCAAATGTGTTTAATTTTAATCTCTGCTTTTAATGAATAAGAAAATTGAAATTTTGACTTTGTGAGATCCTGACAGATCCCTGATAATGCGTTTCGTGTTACGCCATTGTCTCCTGTAGCTCCTTCCGCTATGCTTTTCTCTCTCACCTGTCCTCATTTCAGACCCAAACAGTTCATTAAGGTAGGGACTGATGGTTGAAAATTCCTTGAAATAAAAATAAGTTCCCCTTTTCTGTATGGTGGTTAATTTTGTGTAGTTGAGAGGATTAATAAATGCCGAGTGAAAGAGTAACTCATACCTTCGGGCGAAGGATCCACTGATGGCAAGATCAAAACAGGAAGAGTAATATTCCAGTCTGGAGTTCATGACTGACAAAAGAGAGCAGCAGCCTTTCTCCCCCCTCAAGGGAACAGCCCTATGCCGCCACACCCTGAGAGTACTCCCTCTGCCATGCTTCCCCTCTGTGACAGAGTGTACTGTCTCAAACCGTGGGTCAAAATAAGCCTCTCCCCCTTCAGTCACTCCTCTCGACACTGGTCAGAGCAATGAGAAAAGTAATGAATGTGCTCTACCTTCCCAGTACTAAACAGAGAACACGGCTGAGCTGTGGCTTCGGAGATCTGCTGTTCAGTGTCTAACGCTTTGCGGAGAATGATGCCCAAGAAAACATGTTTGTTCCCTTTGAACTGAACTGAAGACATCGATCTGGTCATTTCCCTCTCAGCAAGAACGTTCTCTACTGCTATATTTTATTGACTCAAAATAGTTGGCCAGTGATCCGACTCCCCAATTAGGCCTTAGGGTTTTTTTAAAGATAATGTCTTAGACTCCGTGCCCACTCCTGTCAGGGCTCCTCCAAAGTGTGTTCTTGTCATGGTTTCTGCTCCTGTTCCAACTAGTTTACATCACAAGTGAAGCAAACATGTCTGACTGCTGTCCACATATGATGACTGAGATGACTGATTGTGTGTGTGTACCGTGAGAGTGTGTGTGTGTGTGTGTGTGTACTGTGAGCATGCGTGCACATGTATATGTGTGTATATGTGTGTATGCGTGTGTTCATAAATTAAGTTCCTCCCATCACAAAACATGAAAATATTGACATAATGGTTACCCTGTGTTTAGAGTGCCTGGTGATAGTTATTAAGCATTTACTACAGAGAAAACTAAGCTATTGGTCTCGTGTTCACTGTTGTACTAACTTCCCACAGCAACTCCACAGGTAGAATTTTGATTTCCACCTCACAGATAAGAAATTGAGGATAGAGTCATTTGCCTAAGGTCACACAAATAGTTTCACAATGGAGATGTGGAGCATGGGATGTAGCTTCTTGCCTATAATATTTTTATTTGCATGTGTTAATTATAAATATTAATGGGTTTCATTGTCTTGTTTTCGTACATGTACATAATAAATTTTAGTCATATCCATAGATTTCCCTCTCGGAACCTCCTACCATGTCCAATGACTCCCCAGCCAATTAGTCTCTCTCTTACTTTGATATTTTGTTTTTACGCTTTGATGACCCAGTGGGTTTTATTATGGTAGTTTATAGAAGCATGGGGTCAGAGGTTATTTACAAGAATATTTACACTCATCAATGGCTACAACTTTGAAAAAAGTGTCTGACCTCCAGCAACCATTAACTGCCTACACATTCTCAGGAAGGAGAAGGGCCTAATGAGCGTTCTCCTACTCGAAGCCAGATTGTTGACCAGCCGTATCTTTTTGAGGTACTCACAGCTGCTGAGTTCAGGAGTACCACGACCATGCCATGCATAGAAGACAAAGCTCAGCATCATCCCCTCCTTACCCTGGCATTCTTTCTGCTCTGTCTTCCATGATGTTCCACAGGCCTGGGAGAGGGAGGGTGCTGTAGATGTCTAATTGTAGCACACATTTCTAAGACCCATAGTGCATTACCTCCCGTCCAACCCGGGGAAGACAAACCAGGGTATAGTGTTGGTGCCTCTTCAGTTGCTGACCCATAAGGTCTCAACCAAGGCAAATGGCCACTGCTCACAGGGAGCATCTAAAATTGTAGATGGCCACAGCAAGAAATCCAGCAACCAGTGAGAAACGTCACACACCAAGAGCTAGCGATAATGGAAAACACTGGAAGAAATCTCAGGTAGAAATATTTTAAACATTCAAAGAAATAAAGGAAGGCTAGACTCCATGAAGCAACTCTAAGAAAGGATGGGAAGAGAAAGAGAAAAAATTAATATTGTAAGCGTGATAGTTGGTTATCAACTTAACGGGATCTGGAATTATTTAAGAGCCATGACTTCAGGCACACATGTGAAAAATTAAACCGGACCCTGGTGTGCCCATGAGGGCCATTCGTTATTAGTTCATAGGGAAGGGAAGCCCCACCGGGAAGAGGGCTGGCACTATTCCCGGACCTTGGGTCCTGGACTGCATAAGAGGAGGAAGCTGGCTGAACATGTATGCATCTCCTCCTCTCTACGTCTTGACTGTAGATGCACTGTGACCTGCTCCTGTCACTTTGGTGCTCATGCCCTGATGGCATCACCCTTGAACTGTGAGCCAAGATAAACCCCCCTCCCTCAGCCTGCTCTTGTCAGATACGCTTGCAGCAATGGGACAAATCACGAATGCACTTGGCTCAAAATACAATTGCTATTAAAATAAAAAAATCCATTAACAGTTTGAAAAGTTGGCTGAGAACAACTAAAAACAGAATGATGGGGCAGATGAAATCCCCTTAAAATAAAACAGAAACCTGAGCAGTTGTCTAGTGTGAAGAGGAACTCAGCAGGAACCAAGGGGAGAAGGAACCAACGAATGTATCCTGAACTTTCCAGAAGAAAAGAATGAAGTAACAAAGGCTGTGATTTAACAGACAATGGTTGAGAATTTTATAAACATGAAAAGGACATATACTCAGATTGGAAGAGCACACCCAGTCAAAAAATAAAGTTTAAAAATCCAATCTCCACTAGTCTCTTTTCATGCAGTCATTGGGTGAATGTTAAGTTCTATATTCCGGATTCTGTTTAAGTGCTTGTACTATAGCTTCGTTGGCCGCATGAGGACGTTTGCTCAGGGAGCTTGCATCCTGTCAGGGACGACACACAGTGCACAGCAAGCCCAGTATGTTAGTAAATTCTCTAGGTTTACCAGATGCCATAAGCAAAGGAAGAGTTGAGCAGGGGAGGGGAGCTAGAGAACCAGGGGGCGGGGCCGAGCACAGCATTCAACAGAATGCTCAACTAACTGGATGACATCGGCAAAGTGGGGAGATTTTGTGAAGGCAACGCACAAAACGGGGTGTCGGAGCGCACGCCATGAAAGCAAGTCCTTCAACGGGACAAGGCCCTGCCTACAGAAGAACAGCGGTTTGGAGGGAGCGGGTTAAACACTGCACTTGAACTTGCTGTCTGGACCGCGCTGGGAAGCCGGCGCCATGTCCTGTGACTTACAATCTTTACAGTAGCTCAGAAGGGCAGCTCTGCCCCTCCCCAGCTACAGCTGAGGAAACCAGAGACGCGTGATTTCCAGGACCACTCAGCCTACAGGCTATGGTCAGAAATCAAGCTTTGATATTCCAGGCACCAAAATCTGCTTCTCCTTTCTAAAGGAGCCACGATCAAGGTTACTGAAATCTATTGCCAGCTCTAGATGCCAATTTTTAGTTATTTTTCTTGACCTTGGTGCATTGGACACTGTAAAATTCACTGAATTTTCTTTTTAAAGAACCAGGTAGCAAATGTCTTGGGTCTTGCTGGCCATCTGGCCTCTGCTGCAGTGACTCAGACTAGAAAGGTTATAACAATATAAAAGCAAATGAATGCGGCAGAGGGCCAGTACAGTAATATTTGTGGGGAGTGAATGCTGAACCCCAACTAATTCCCATGTAAGCCAACCAAGTCAAACTGAAGGTGGAGATGCAAGTTGTGTCTCAGCGATGCCTTCATTTCTTTAGCTCAAGCATCTGCTGGAAGACAAAATATGATTTGATTTTTATTGAAGTAAAATATGTACTATTCTTAAAAACAATAACAACAACAAAGAAGCCTGTTTCATCTGAGAGGCTGACAGAAGTAGGCAGCCAGATGGATTTGACTGCGGGTGGGTCACGCGGGTGGGTCACGCGGGTGGATCACGCGGGTGGGTCACGCAGGTGGGTCACGCCTTGGCTCTTGATGACCTCCTCTCTGTCAGTGTCTGCTGTTCTTAGACCTGCATTCCTTCACTTCTTTCAGGTGGTTTTATCCCTAGGAATCGATGTGACTGTTTCTATGCCTTATTTTACTGACTTGGAAACTGAGGCACGGAGAAATTAGGCAGTTAATACAAAGTCACAACAGTCGACAAAAGTCAAATCTGGGAAGAACTCAAGAGGGGGAAGAAGAGTTGCAATCCAGAGAGCTGGGTCGGGAACAATAGGCTAAGCTGTGCTAAGACACTAAATCAATCAAAATCCAGTTGCCTTCTTCCCAGAGGACCTTTTATGGGTGACTTCCAAAGAGCTCATGGATGTCCGAGGGCCTGGGGGACTTGAGGAATGAACTTTAGCCAAATACGACCTCATCTTGTGTTTAGTAGCAATCAGTGGCTCTACCCAGATGATTACAAAGAAGAGGTTACAAAAAGGAACATCTGTGTGTCCAGGGAGGTCCGTGAGCCCCAGTCAGGCTGGATAGCAAGGCTCCTAGTCTCAGCCTAAGGCTCTAGCCCCACAGTCCCCTATTCCCTACTCGCTCAGTTTTCATTTCCCGGCCAAACTCTGCATTGATCCATTACTCAGGTACGTGCCCAGCGTCCTGTCTGTGGCCCCCTTACACTTGACTGCATACCCTCTTCTCTCAGAGGGTTGGCTTCACCCCGAGCGCCTTGGTGAGCTTCTGTCACACTTATCTACCCACCAAATAGCACTGGTTGGATCTCCTATATGCATCTTTAGCTCAACACATCCAAAACCATTGTCCCCCACAAAACCTGCC